TTCGTCTCAAACTAGTAGAACTCCAGTTTCACACCCAAGCATGAAGAAACTGTTAAATATTAACTTATTTAAAGTAAAATAAATAAGAAAATTAACTTTCAATTCTTCTTGATTAAAGATATGAATACACGAGAAAATGCTTAACAGTTTTATTGATGTTAAGTTTAAAAGTTCTTAACAATTTTAAACAGAATCAATATTATTACTGAAATGTACGCGTAACTCGTACAACTATTTACTCCCGAAACTCTAAAGTTTTTATTAAAAACAATGATACCAAATGTAACTTAGATATTATTTTAATTGTTTCTCTTTTCTCTGTTTCTGTTGTTTCACTTTCACTCGTGGATCATTGCAGATGTAATTATAAAATACATAAAAGAATAAAATAAAAGTAAGTCCAACATACCACTTGTGATTTGCAAATTATAATCTGAAAAAAGGGCTGATTTCTCCCTTATCTTATTTCTACCTTACAAACAATGGAAGGAAAGTATTCCACTGGCCGTACTGAAAGATAAAGCCATTGGAGAAAAAAAGAGTAAGAGTATAAGGGCGAATGAAACATCAAGAGAATGGAAAAGAAGATTGCAGGAAAGAAGTAAAAGTAAGATTTGGGAGCGCCTGTCAATATGCCATTTATTGAGATTCCAAAAGTTCGATGAGAACAATTACGTGATATACATTAGTATGTGTAAAACTAATTTTAGTTACATTGCAAGCACTATATTGTAGAATTAAAACGAATCGAAGCACATACCAGAGACAGATGCACTTGAAAAATGAGATGAGTAGTTATACAAAGCGGTGGTCGTAAGGTTATACCTACTAGGAAAAACTTTCCATTCGGATCCGCGAATAGAAAGTTATCTTTCCTAGTCTTTCCTAGTATCTTTCCATTCGGATTCGTATTTACATACGAAACCGAATGTAGCTAAATACAAACATTACATTGCTATGTACTATACCTTNAAAATTTTCTTTTTCATATTATTTGTCACCTAAAGCGTTGCATTAAAAAAGCTCATAGCGAAGGGAAGAAATTATGTCATGTCAATTCTCAAATTGCCCCCCTCCAACCATCAAATTGCCCCCCTGTGGGGCGTACGCCCCACTTTGGGAAACACTGTACTGTACCTTTCCACATCTGTGATACCGAAACATCTGGGATACCGAGGTACGACGAAATACAAATGGCAGGAGCGGCCGAGAGGTAGAAGAAATCGCGAATACAGTATGTATTGTACAGTACATACTGTAGGTGCTCAATCGCGATGGGTTAAAATTGCTATAATGTTTATGCAAAGGTATTTTACTGTTAAGACACGTAAGCATTAGATTACAGTTATGGATACATTAGAGGATTCATTCATTCATTCATTCAATCATTTTTATTTACTATGTACTGTCAAGTACATTCCTGGCCCCGCATGGAGCATTACCAGGAGATAAACAACAGAAATACGTTACAATATATATTCGTAGAGAAAATTAAATAACATTAAGTTGTAGTAATGGTAAATAAAAAAATAAAACAAACAAAAACAAAACAAAAAAAATAAAATAAAAATAAATTGATAAGATTGTTGAGGGACATTGATAGGACGATCACAATTTAACTATTAACATTCCTCAAAAACTCGGCCTAATGTGGAC